ATTAGCCTGAGGAGGAGACACTCAAAAGTGAAGACTACAACGTGAAAATTTATTAGACAGAAAATGAAAGACGAGATGTTAAGTACAAGAGGCAAAGGCAGAGAGTAGGGCAAATAAGATAACGAATGATAAAGCAGTGTGGATGTCGTCGAAGTAGAGGACGCTGTGTATAAGTTGTGCAGACCGAGGGTTCAACAAATAGCGAGAGAAAGAGCGGTTAAGGAGACGATAGAAATCGTAGGAAAGGAGAGATACACAAGGAGATTAGATTCGGAGCTCGAGTAATTTTGACTGCAAACTATCGAAATCAATAGACAGTAGCACATCGTGAAAATGATGAAAACAAAGTGTCCAGATATTTTAATCTGTTGCAGTGTTAGGTAGGAACGTTTGACGATGCAAAGGAAGAATAAAACGCGAGGAAAAGAGCAATGGTCAGAGATGATGAGAGAAAACAGAAGTGTACTTCGCCTCGTTAAACATTTCTTCTTTCGCTATCTCTGAGCATGTGCTCTGCTCGTGACACTACGCTTCAACGAGAGATCATTTGATCGTCGAGTCGAAATTATCCCTCGACTTTCTTACCGATCGCTATGCGAACAATATGTGATCAGGTAACGCGTAGTTACGTGATACGAGCATGAACTGCGATCAAAGAGCTTCGTTGCTCCTCCAACTTCTCTCCTACGTAGATTTTATATTATACAGAGAGGGAGATTATCGAGTGGAAGATTCGAATCACTTCTGATCAGAAGAAATTTCATATCGAGCGATACAGTGAGAATTTGTACAAATTACTTACTACGCAGACAACTGCGTATCCATCACTTTTGCAAACAAATGCGGACAGATGCATCTGCCTCGAGTTCGATCGATTTGAAATAATAGAAATGAAAATTACTTTTTGAAATAATAGAAATGAAAATTGAATCTGATTCGATCGGAAAGAGGTCAGCTCTTGCTATTACAAAAAATATAACGGGATAGTAAGAACGATAATTTTTATGAGGGAAGGACCTAGTTCCTAAAAATTAATTAATAGACATTTTCTCATGTTGTTCAAACAATAATGAGCGAAGAAAGGCTAGAATTAAAATGAAAACTTAAGCGTTTAAGGGTGGAAGTGGCTACGACATCCGGATTACAGCAGAGAAAGACGTAGAAGAAGAATATACACCGTTGATCCTCTGGGTTGCATTATTCACGTATAATTCCCCTAGATTACGTTTGCAGCTCGTTCGACAGGATAAACCCCCCGCCCCCGGCTGTTTAACATTTTTCACGTCGCACAACATTGTTGAAAATGACGCGATTAAAAGTTTATGGCACGGCGCCTGACGCCCCTTTCTTCTCCGTTACCAAATTGCTAATTCAAACGTTCATTTTTTTAAATCGCCGGCTCGGTTGAAAAATTATAATCTCGGCCTCTTTTCAAATCCCGATTTAACGCGCTATTATACTCGCGCGAATAATTGATGTCGTTTTCGCGCCGGTTTACATTTCAATAATTTATTTTCTTTTCGCAGAGAGTAATGTCACACTGAATTTATTTATTAGTTCGTTATTATTATCGGAACGATTATTTGAAATTTCCGTCGTTTTGTGTCTCAGTTATTTTTTCCCCGTCCCTATAAATTGCGATTAATTAGTACAATAGTAATTATCGTCGTTGTTATCTTAAATTAAAATGATCGACAAATTTTAAATTTACTTTCATCACTTCTCTGCATTTTAGCAAATAATACTTTTCCTCCCACAAAAATTTCTAAAGTCACCGGCGTTGTCTTCGCTGATTTATGTAATAGGACGAGTATATATTTCCTGTCTATGAAACAAGGAAAGCACCAGAATAATTTTAGATTGCGATACTTGGTTAAAAATGTAACCGCGCGCCTCTAATGGCCGATTCAACGGAGAAGCGGCGTTATTTGAATAGCCCTACGCACACAGGCGGCCATTAGTGCAACATATGTTCAACTTTCATGACTTGCAGCGACTCGAGGAATCTGGAATCGCACCGCGTTCAATATTTCGCGTTCCACTTCCCTCTCCCCCCTCCTCCCCCTTTTTTCCTGCAGTCTCTTTTCTTTTCTTCTTTTCCCTTTACTGTCGACGCCTCGCAAAACAGACGAAACGCGCTAAATATACGCGGACCCGTGCCTCAACGTAGCGCTGCACACGTATTACGTGATAAGGAACAGCCAGCCATGAGGCACGACACAAACGTAGAATCGATTTCTAATATCCAGCGAGAGGAGAGCCGATGGGTGGGCGGACGAAAAGGGGGCGAGAATTTATGAGCGACGTCGATTTCGGGGCGAGGTGTCTCGCCTTTCGAGCATCTTCAACAACCCCGTAAATATTCCGCGTCCTATAAATTTAAATAAACTGCACAGGAACTCGTACGGGTGGTTAAAATGGACGGTCTTCTTGCGAGCACGAGAATTCAATTTCACCCGATAAACTGCCCGTTTACATATTCTCCGTGTCAAATGCTCCGAAGCGGGTGTTTCCAGGTTAACCGAGATTATCGTTAATGGACATTTTCACTCGAAAAATGGAGCGTCCAATGGACTAGAAAATTATAATACAGGAAACATTGTACCTCCGAGCATTCGGTGTATTTCGGTGCATCATCTTCTTCCATGTACACGCGTAGAATCCTGATCGATATTTCTATCGCGATACTCCTTGTTCATTGGATTCAGAATAACTAAACTTGGCGAAGGGAAATTTTGATAATTTGAGAAATTCTCTGAAATTGAAGAAAATTGGATTATTTCTTTTTTTAAATGTCGCACAACTGCGAGCGGAGATTCCAAATGTAAGCTTCTCTGGATCACACTGATGGACTATTCATGCGATTATCCGTATAACAAAACACTGGAATTCAAAGGCAGCTGATATTGCTGGTATTTAGTTAGGTTAAATCCGCGAGGAACGACGGAAACGCGATCGGGGGAGGGAGAGCTCGACCGTTCCGAAGAAAAACATGGCGGATCGAAAAATCTGTTGCTCGGAACGGTACACGTCACCGACGCGACACATAGTCGCACGGACTCCAAACCGTTACTCCCTATTTGCTTAATGAGTTAAGGACGCCAGTGAAAAATGGCGTCTAATCGCCTCCGGATTCTCCGGCGATTCTGCATACCGCGTTACGTAAGCGGCTATCAATTTCATAGATTTCCGAAGTGGCGTGCATCAACGCCGGCCAGAGTTGAGTACCGTTTGAAAAATCGCTGCACTCTCTACGTACACGCTATAGTCGATACGATTCTCCCACTGTACATTACCCATAATCCTCCAAACTTTCATGCACGAAATTCCTTTTCTCTCTCTCTTTCTCTCTCTCTCTCTCTCTCTCTATCGAAAGTGTGAAAATTATTTCCACAATAATTGAGAGAGAACCGCATGCAATTGATTTTCCGTATAAGTACCACGCGTAAAAAATAACGCTGAATTCTATCGTTCGAATCAACTGCGACGTTAAATATCGACAAATATTTCTAGAAGCCACGTCTCCCTATGGAATTTGGTTACTTTCCATACGTTTCTAGTATACGTACACGTCAAATAAATTCCAAGGATCGTGAGAGAGAGAGAGAGGGACAGTTAACGTGGCACTACCGTTCTTACGCGCATCGTTGAAGCAGCAAGTGCAACTATTGGTTGGCGGAATTTCCCGACGTGTTTCGATATACATTCATTTTCCTCGGCAATCGCTGATAATCGACGGTGCCACCGGCGGATTATCATAATTCCACGACGATTCGATCGCGGCCGGAAGAATCGGTAACGATTTCACGCATGACTAATTGCATTTTCAACACGCAACGTTGGTGAGGCAACCAACAACCGGGGACGTTGTTTCGGCATTACAATGGCACAAGACACGTCGGGGAGAATGGCTTCAGGGGTCCGGCGGCTCGTGTTACGAAATCGAAACTGGTCCCCGCTTGATATGTTCGAATTACCAATTTCGAGTGAAGAGGCTCGAGTGCGCGACGTTTTCATTTTCAACGGGCGACAAAAGTAGAGAAAGACAGAGAGAGAGAGAGACGACACGTATTGCCTCGTCGTTTAGACGTACAAATGTATATACGATGGATGCAGATACACACACGTACACACACATACACAAAGAGAGAGAGAGAGAGACACGTATGCACGCGTAAATAGGAGCGTAACGCGTCGAGAAATCTATGACTTCGAGAGAGGACGGTCGGAAGGCAAACGGAAATGGGAAATGCCTCGGCCGACCGATCGGAAACCGTTTTCGTCGTTTCGACTTTTCAACGTTTCCGTCGGCAACAGCCACCATGTTAGCGTTGCCGCCTCGTACCGCCGCCTTTATTGCGCAGCGAGAGAGTCCAACGTCGGGAAAAAAACTGCCCCGCACTCTCTCGTTATCTCTCGGGCGAAAGAGGGAAAACAAAAAAATACGGCCGGGCAAGCACGGAGAGACCGACGTAGACGGCGATGGTTCACGGGCGAAAAATATCCACGTCTGCAACGCGCTGTGCGGCATTTATCGGCACGGGGAGAGCAACGGCCTCCTCCTCGGCCAAGCTGCCGACGACTTTCGGTCTCTCCGGCCAGGCAAATTTCTTCCTACCGATATTTTCCCGATCGATATCCATTATCTTGCCTTCGTGCGAACCAGCGTTTATTTGTACAAGAAGAATAGCGAAACAATCGTCGGGCAGAGAGAGAAAAGTGGAAGGTGGTGTTCAAAATATTTACAGCGGACGACTCGCCACGAAATCGCTTTCGAGAAACGCCGGTCAGTAATTGTAAAAAAAATAAAGGGAGCATACGAGCACGAGGTACTCGTGGCATTCGTAGGTAATCACGATTTCGACCCGTTTCCGGAACGACCTTCGTACCATCTGCGGCACATAAACAAGTACCGAAAGGCAATACCCGTAATGGGCGCACAGGGTTACTCGACTCGAGGCTGCTTTTTCGCGGGCAAAAGTGAAAAGAATCAGACTTACAGCATCTCCTTGGCGGCGGAGTTTCCGAAGCACATCACGGTGGCAGCGGCACAGCAGTCACGGTCACAGTCACGTAAGCCCTGAGCAACCGCTACGACGTCGAACACAAGCGAAGAAACACTCATCACTGTCACCAGGCTGTCCCTTTCTTTTTTTTTCTTTTTCTTCTTTCTTTTTTTTTTTTTTTTCCTTTCTTCCGTCGGCCAGTCGATTACCCGTAAATATGCGTACGCGCACGGTGAAGAGTCCAGGAGCGGCGCGCGTTCGTACAATATTCGAGGAAAAAAAAAAAAAGGAGAACGATTTTCTTCGAACGTCTCTCCCCCGTTCCGCCCGCGCCACGTCCTTTAACCCGCGAGAAGTGAGGAACACTTTTGGAGCACGGTCCGGACACGAACGATTACGGCACTGAAACTCCTTCGCACGATGATAAACTCGCGACACACTGGGATCTGCCAGGAGTGGCCACACTGTGTGGGCCGTGCAGGCAGTGCCGAGAGTGTTGGAGAGGAGAGCACCGCGGCTCCTGGCTCGTACCGATATTAACCTCGCCTCGGAGCGATTCGATGCAGCCGAGTTTCTTGACTGAGCCGCCGATGCTCGCCGAGCCGTGCCCCGTGAGACGACAGTGCTGCCACACGCCGCGAAAAGTTACTAGACTCGCCGCGGAGGCGTTGCGAATCGCTCGGCCAGCACTCTTTTGAAATTCAACGATTTGATCTTTTTCTAGCATTTGAAGGAACAAATGAATGATGGATATCGTTTCAAAAACGTGGAATGTTTATGTCGATTCGAAGATTGGATATCCTTATTTGAGAAATGTATGAAAAATTATGAGCGATTTGTACTGATGATTTATATTCTACGTGGTCTTGTGGCTATCGTATGACATTAATTCTTCAATTGAAATTTAATAAATAAATAATTAAATAATAATTAAATAAATAATAAATAATTATTATAATAAAATATATATTGTAATAATAAATAAATAAATAATTATTAAATAATTAAATAATTATTCAATAATAAATAATACGTACTGTAGTTTGGAACTAAATGATTGAAGATAAAATAAATTTATAAATAAGAGCGTTGCAAATAAGAAAGGAGGCTTATAAATAAGCTTTGTAAATAAGAAAGAAGGTCTTTTGTTATAAACTCATGTACTGACAGTGAGTGAATTTCTTTCTTGTTCGAAGTAAATGCAATGGTGTTGTTGAAGATGGAAATAAATGATTCTTCACACTTTGTTGCACTACAAGTTCGTATTTGTGTTTCCTTGTTGATAAAGCTTATTTTCAAGCTGCGTAAATTGCAAAAAGCACTTGGAAATTCGTCGAGTCGGTGAGTCGTAAATTTGACAAAACAATATTTTCGAGCTTCAAGTGGAACAAAGAAATTTGTAACGACCTGTTTGCGGGAGAAGAGGGTTACTTTTTCTCGTCTCATACTTTCGTTCGCGGAAGAAGAGATCGCGCTGGATCGCGATTGCTTCTTTAATTAATCTAACAAGCCATTCTTCGCAAACTTGCCGCAAGAAGCGTGATTATTTCACACGTAATCACGTTGGAAGTCATCCTCAGTTCCCATTCAGCAAATTTTTTTTTACCACATTCAACGTCAGTTCTACCGTTTGATTCAATCTTGATACTCAACCTCGTTCGTTCGACTAATTTCTAAAACAGAAAGAACGACGAGCATCGAAAGTCCAGTCGCACGAATTATTAAACTACGCACAACACGTTTCACTTTTGAAAACTTGGTAGAAAAAGAATATTCCATTCTTTAAAATGAAAAAAAAAAAAAAAAAAAACTCTTCCCTCCAATAACAAAGCAACCACCGAGTTCAATCTCTTTTCTCTCAGCCTAGAGAAACTTCTCGACGTCATGTTGGCAATGGCCGGTTCCGTGCATTGGTCATCCGCCGAAGTGGCGAGCTCTGATTGGCCGGTGTGCCGTTCGTTTTAATGGCGTGGCGCGAATCGATGGTGGGGGGGGAGGTGCCAGCTTCAGAACGTTCAACCGTGGTCGTCGAGTGGCTGGTTGGTTTTTCATGAGAGTCCTAACCTGTCGGTTGTGTTTCGTCTGGTTTGCGACACTTCAGCTAGAGGTTAGCTCCGTCGTGTGTTCGCGGACGCGTGATCGTGTCACCACGTGAATTTATACGCTTTTCCATCGCGATCGAAGATCGATTAGCCGGGGACAACGCTCGAGAACGCGGACGGCAATGATGGAGAGCTGAGAATACGGTGCCCGAGTTTCGTGCATGAGGTAGGCGCAGCTTCTCAACGCGCGTACGGTGTATACGTGTTTGCCTTGTCGCGTGAAAATTTGGACATTTGGTGCTGGCTTAAGGGATTAATTCTCGCCGTCGAGTGTGAAGTGAAATACCTGCGGAATTAACCTACGAACCGAGACACAAAGAGAGTTGGGAGAATTAGACGCGCGATTATCAGTTCATTGATGGTTGATGGTGATTGGGTCATTTTTTTATTTTGTTTACTTCCTGATTTGATTTAAAATGTCAATTTTATCGCAATTTGTTCACTTTATGTATGTACACATTTGGCGAATACATTGTGCGATACTTGCAGCGTTGTTATTGAAATGAAAAAAGATCTAATGTATAAAATATTGAAACATATGATTATATTACAATAAACACATCCTGCGTCTGACGGACATAATTTTTTTCATAGTTTGTGGTTCTATATCGTTTATTTATAGTAGTTCGTAGAATGATATTCGTGACAATGCCAATTTGTTAATTTATTAATTTGGTTATAATATTAAATTAAAATTGAAATTGAAATAATGCAAATTGTTGTGCAGGTAATGTGTTGTAAATACAAATGTCAATGTCGAGTTAGAAACGTTCGATTAAAAAGTGTTGAAAAGGAATCTCTAAAACTATAATCTATCTACATCAGTGAACGAAGTACATATTTGTTGTATGTGGCAATTAATCTTTTAAATATAAACATATTTCTGAGCACTGATAAATGTATTTTTTCGACGGTTATATGATTAACTCTCCGCCTGCTGTGCCACAGTCACAGTTTTGAGCCAGCCGGACGACCCTAAATATGTATTAGTGGAATATCCATGTGAGTCAGAAATGACTCCAGCACCGGACGCTGAGGTTCAATAGTCGGAGGGTTAATAAACAGAGAGGAGACTGTTGATAAAATAATATTAGCTGTTCGCACAATATTCGATAAAAAATTAGCATTTTGCAGGCAGATATTTATTTGCCATTCATCACTCACTTTTTTTCTACGTGGCGATTAATCGTTCGATAAACTTCCGGAAGTGGTCAAATCTGTAATGAAATTTTTTTATATAGATTATATACTGAATAACGTAACCGATAATTGGAAATTTGCTGCTGTTGCTACAGTGAAGATTCGACGAGGATTAATACTGTCGTTTAATGCGTGACGATCTGCAGCTGGTCAGTAAGAGGTTAACGATATATTTCTGTGTGTAAGATTGCGCACGTAATCGTGTACGTGCGAAACACTTGAATTTTCGAGATAATCGGCCTCGAAAATTACGCTTCGCGGTGCGAGTAACTCCAAACTTTTAATCGAACGCTACGTGAAAGCGCAAATACGTTCAGAAGAAAAATTAAATTGCGAAAAAGTTCGTCGTCCTCGTTTGAAGTTTCTATCGTTTTCTCGCAGAGAATTTCGAGTCGTTCTCTGCTGAATTATATCACACGAGATTAAAAATCTTAGCTTTAAGTTGTTTAATTTCCCTTTGAACAAATTGCCCTTTGGATAGCTGGAATTTTTTTTCACTTCTCAAATTCCAGGTGGCTGGAAATTATTGAAAAGGAGGATACAAAGTTAAATTGGCATAGCGCTCTCTAGTTACCCCTCTTCCGTGTTAGAAAGCGCGTAGATACCGGATTTACGAGAGCTGCGCTGCATATAGATCTCGTTGAAATATTAACCTCGCCTTGAATGTTTAAACAGTAACTCTATCTTCGTCTCGAAAGCCTGAATTTAAACTTCGCTTGTTGAACTTTGATGCCTCTATCCGAGGCATCTAATCAGACCGTATTCCAGATTTATTTTTAGCGTTCGACGTTTTCTTTTTCTTTTTTTCTCTTTTCTCTCTAAAACCGTGTACGTATCAATTTCATCTAGAAACCAGACCTGAACGTTTGACCGCGACAACTGCGTCCCCTTTCCGTGTTCGCCCCGTCGAATTTCCAATCCGGCGTGGAGAATCTTCGAAAAGAGGCTCGTTTGCACCACGTCGTTCACCGGAAACCGGTTTCGCCGGCGGCCTTCCAAGAATTCCATTCCGCCTCTGTCGGCGACAGGATTATTTCATTTGCAATTCTTCTCGGATATTTGATAAACGAGATTCGGATAAATAAGGGAAAAAAAACACGTCACCTGTGTGTACCCTGTCTCAATCTCGAGCGAACGTGCCAATCACTCTTGTTCGCGTGTAATTACGTGAAAATTTATATAAACCCCGTCCGAGCCGACGGTTGGAAAAAGATCTCTCTGACAATCAAGCAGAATTCAATCGTAATTCGCTGTTGAAATAATTCTAGACACACGCACACACACACACATACACACAGACTCGAGTTCCACACACATGTGAAAGCAGGATCTATCGCGCGTGCTCGAAAGTGTCAGTGAACTCAGAATTCAGCCGCTAGGTAGCCTACACACTCCACCCCTCGTTCATTTTTCCTTTCACGATATATGGTGCGCGTGTGTGTGTGTGTGTGTGCACATACACACGAAGGTATAGTCTCTCCTCCGGGCAAATATCCTCGATAATTCGCGCGGCCAGCAAGGACGGTGCAAACTGTGGTGGACGAGCCATGCGAGACGGATGTAATTTCCGTTCTCGCATAGTCGGTCGAAGTGCAACGATAAAAGCTGACTATCGTAATTACCGGTGTCCAATTTCAGACGTTTGCCTAATGCTCACGTTACCCTTACATCGTACGCCGATCAAACGTCGCCGTGGCGCGCCCTCGCCTGTTTGTTTTGTCCGGGTTATAAACACGTTAATGGCACGGCGATAAATCACTTTTGAGTTTTAGGCCCTGCGCGGCAAATGGATTCATGCCTCCACCGGCAACAGAAAGCACGGTGTATTTCAGTTCCAAGTTGGCTTCCGTCCTCGAAATTATTCCACGTTGCATTTTTGCAAAATCATTCCTTTGTTATCATCCCTGCAGTTTTCGTCGTCTGTTATTCATATTTAACGATCGGACTATTCCGCGATCGGCGATCTTTATTTATACGTCAGTCGAATGCCGCACTCAACGTAGAGTCGTGATGCAAACGGGTTAAATGCAAGGATCGTTCCTCTTTGACCTAGTTTCGAGAGACGTTCTTTTCTTGAAAAAAAAAAAGTGGAAAACGCATCGTGTCACGGAACACAAAATGGTAATCGCCGTTCCATTAATCGAAACGATTTTCGTAATGAAATGAAGCGGGCACAGTTCCATTTGACGGTGCTAAATAATTGGACGTATTTCGCTCTCGTGTAAAAGGCACGAATACTTTTGTACGAATTGAATTTTAAATGCTCGTGCCAGTTCACCGAGTCGGTGAAACTCGATTTAACGAAATGCTGTGACAGAATGTGTATCACACTATTAGCATCTTAGCATCTTGTACATGTATAAAGACTATGTAACAAATGTACAGTATGTGTGTGTAACATGTACTCTGTTACAATTACACGTAACACGATACAATTATGCAAATTATCGCGTATAGTATCACATAACAGATATAATATAACAATGTAGCTATTTATATGCAACAATGATCGTTACTTAGCGATCATTTGGTGAACAATCATTTTAGTGAGCGTTTCATAGTCAGCAATTCAAAATAATAAATGTGACGTCCATATCACAGCCTCATTTATCTGAATACCGTATTCGATGAATCAAGTTATTGCAACGTATTGAAATTGGAGGTACCAACGTGTAAAATATTCCTAATTGTTTTTATGTAATCGCGTGTAATCACGTGAATCGATCTTAATTTCGATCTGCTCGCACGTCCTTGCGATCCATCCATGGTGTAACCATCTAACCGCAGGTAATACCGGCGTATCTGGTTTCCAAGAATAAAACAGTTGAAACTTAGGGATGCGAGACGCATCGGAGAGTATTTTTCAGATTTTGAACTCGAGGTGAACATAAAAAAACATTAACGAACAAAAGAAGAAAAGATCACATTCAAGTTAGATGAAAGTGTGATCAAATTGTGGTAATTAATAGAGGAAGATCATAGCAATTTGTCATAGTTGCCAGAGGAATTTCTCTTGAAAATAATTTATCATAGTCACTAGATAAAAGATAAAAAGAATTTTTTTTTCGGCAAGCCCTGACCTCGCTGTGAATAATACTGAACGTAGATTTATTTTATTACATTTGTCGTCAAACAAGTTTCTCCTTGGATTGTTGCACGTTCTTCAGTCACGAAAATTTATAAAAATGCTATCATTGAAAAAAAAAAAAAATATCTATCAATTTCACCAATAAAATTAATAAAATCAGTCGTTGAACTTCCCCGCTCGCTGATGAATGAAAGTATAAATATAATGGTTTCAAGAGTCAATCCCGAGGCGTTTCACGATACTTTAATTCACGGTATAAAGGCAGCAGTGGAACGTGGGCAAACGTGCAATTACGATTTTCCACGAACCGGTAGCTCGCTAGTTTTAACAAGGGGGACGAGAGATATAATTAAGAGAGATTAAAAAAGAGGGGGAAGACAAACGTAAGTGCGCTCTCCAGTCCTATGGTGTCCCGCTTTATATATAGTTTCCATCGAGATCTAGGAAATGAAAGCGTGTCACGCGACCGTCGCACCTCCCTCCCCTTTTGCCTTACAAACACGTGCACGCTAAACGGTTAAATTAATACCTATCTGTGCCGACATGTGTTCACTGGGAATTACGTTATCGTTTCTCGATCGATAAAGAAGATCGCGATAATCTATCCTAATTCGTATTTATGTGTACATAATTGGTATGTACACCGACACCTCTTCCCTGCGTTTAATATGCATACGGTTTATCACTTGATATGTTGTACGAACTGTCACTGTAGATAAAATATTATTCAATCAGATATCGGGTCTTTTTTGTTACTTGCTGATGCCAGAAAGATAAATCAACAGATAATCAACAAGTCAAAATTTTCTTCCATACCTCTGTTGTATTCTGAGTAAAATTAACTCGGATTTTTCGTTTTGCAGTATCCCATATATCCAATATTGTATGGTTTGCCAATGTTGCATAGAATAAAATTTTATATAATCGCGTATATTATATATATATAATGTAAAGATTTATAGTGACTGTACGTTACACATTTCACTGTTTTATTTCTCGCTCGTTAAGTCGAACGTTTTGTCGGTTTTGTCGTGCACGACCTCAGGTTCGATCAGGTTCGTAGAAACCTTCCGATTTTACGGAGACGACGAGCCATTATACAAGAGGATGTCTCGAAATAAAAGTGATGATCATCGACTTTCACTTGCATGCTACGTCGCGCCAAGACTAGCACTGGCTAGTGAATTATTCTCTCACGTTTCAGCTTCTCTTATCCCTCAGTCTCACTCTTTGTTTTCACTTCTCTTTAGAATTGATCAATTTCGTGTCACACGAATAAAAAAAAAAAAAAAAAAAATGACAAAAAAGTTTCCTAATCTGCGTGCTAACAGCGACTTTATGGTTCCTGGATTAGGTTTCACTGACATTTGATTTATCACAGTTGTAGCATCAGTGTGTGTCTAAATAATTAAATAATAAAACTAATTATTATCATTATTCGAAATATAAACATTACATCCACGCGTCCAAAACCATAAAGTCGTTGTTAGAACGCGTCCGAAGTATTAAATGATTAAGAAACCTTTTGGTTTTAACTTTTCAAGAGAGCTGTTAGGTTCTTTGGAAAGGTTTTACCTTCGTAATTAGTAGAGTACAATGAAAAAAAAAAAAAAAAAAAATGATCAAGATCAATTTTGCGGCAGGTTCTTTACATGTATTTCCATCAAATCGAAGGTGTAGAATTCAGCTATGCAGAAAAGCTTTCCTTTCCACCCTGTACTTGGAATTGTCGTGTATAATAATACCGTGGCACGAATTGTTTGCAGAGATGAGTGGTTCTAGACTTGGCAGGGGCCGGGGTGGTCGCCTGGCCGTGTACGGGGGTTGCGGGGTGGTGGTTATTCTTATAGTGTTTCTCTACCGCGCCACCACCTTGGAGATGGCCAGGCTTCGAGAACTTCACGTTCAGTGTGCTCATCAGCAGGAGGCTCTGGCTGCTCAGCTTCAAGGTATGAATCAAATACGTTGACCAACTTTTCAATGCTAGGATTATCGATGATCAAATTCTAAAATTTTCAAAAACGTGTCACTATAATTCTGGAAAATTGCGAATTACTGTAAATTCGATTTGGATTTACTTTGATCACTCTGGTGATTCTGGAAACTTACAGGACTGTACCGAAAATAAATTGTCTTGTTTTCAGTGATATTCGAGTACAAAGTAAGGCTGGAGAAGTCCCTGGCTGAGGAGAAGAGTTCGAACGCGGCCGTGAGGCAAGAGCTTCAGCAGCGCGCGTCGAGGGAGAAGTCGCTGAGGGACAAGGACAGCATAGAGGCGATGCAGAGGTTCAACTCCCTGCAACAGACTTACAAGCTGCTGCAGACGGAGCACCAGGACCTGCAGGAAGAGTGCAAGAAGCGCGATCAACAAGCTTTAGAAGACACTAGCAAACTGGAGACAACGCTCAGGGAACTTCGCAGCCGTATCAGGCAGGCGAGGCAAGACAAGGAGAAAGCCTTGGAACACCTGAAGAACAAGTTCCTAGAGCTGGACACGCAGAAAAACGAGTTGGAACAGAAGTACAACGACATGTTGAAGAGCAACGGTGACACCGACAGCACCATCGAGCATCTCAAGAAGGAGGTGTTTCAGTTGAAGCGCGAACTAGAAGAAGCCAAGGTGAATAGGAAATTAATCTTGAGTCTTCTCATTTCGATTTAGTTCAAAGATAGTAATCCTAAGAATTAAATGTCTAAGAACTAAAGAGGATTCAAAACTTCATGAAAATTCCATAATTCAGCCCTAAATTTCAGTTCCTGTTTATTTGAAATGTGAATTTTCTTCCCTTCAAAGGCTCTTCAAACTCTAAGCATCTGTTTCTTTGAGAAGAGCCTTTTTTTTTTTCTTTTAGGTTTTTGTAGCCTATTTTCTACTTATTTTTCTTCAATAGGAGCCTACTTTTTTTCAAGTCGTTGTAGTTTCTATTTATTTCTCTTCGACAGAAAGCCGCGCGGAAGGCTACTTCGCCAGGTCCGAGCGTGGCGAATCCGCGGCCGTCGCAAGCGAGACCCGCGAACGTGGAGAACGCGGGACAGCAGCCTGTTGATCGGTCGCAGCAGCAACAGGTAAGTCCGCAGACAAGTGACGATAAAAATCCGCAGCCGTTGAATGCGCCGATCGCTCAGCAAACGATCGAGGACCCCCTGCTGTCGAACGAGCAACGCCTGAACGAGATGAACGACGTTCAATTCGCTCAGAAGAACGGCAACATTGTACCAGTCGGTCCCAACGAGATGAAGGAAGCCGATGTGTTACCATTGCCCTACTATCTGCAAGAGAAACACCAGGGAAAGCAGAGCGAGCAATTCGTCATCAACGTGAACCAGATAGAGAGCAACAAAGAACTGAGACAGGTAATCCCGCCACCGAATCAGATCGATGACAGTCTCGGTGACAAAAAGTCATCGAGCAACCCGCCGGTGAATGAGATAGGTCGCAAGATTTTTGACAAGAAGGACCAGTCCGCCGTAGCGAATAACAACACGAAGAAAGTAGAGAGGAAACTGGAGAAAGCGCAGAACAATGTGGACGGGATTTTGAATCAAATTTTGAGGATGATCTGACGAAGAGGTTTAGTCGGAACTTGCGATCCCTCGTTGGTATTGTTTTCATTGAAAATACTGTGGGCAATTACGTTAATCGTGTTCCATGATGGCTCCTCTTGGAAAGGACATCTGTCAACATATTGCGCGAAGACCTGATGAATTTGCAGCTAGTTTCTTGACGATTGGGTGCAGCTTCTGACGTTAGTTGCGATGTGGCACTTGTTGAAGGTGTTCGAAGTGTTTTATTTTTTTTCTTGAGGGGAAGAGCAGAATCTAGGATTGTGTGATGAATTTTTAAGATTTTTAACATTGTTGTTGATGTCAAAGCAACAGCGAGCATAAGTGGAAAGATCAGCGTTGATACGTGAATCTTGGATGCCTCGATTGCGTGAGAGTGTGATAACGAGTGACAAATTCACGTATCGACTATGACTGTAGTCACCACGTTCGCTACCAGAGCGTATCTATTAATATAGATATAATATATCTATTAATATAGATATATCTATAGATGTAATTTTAATGACATAGTTGGTGCTTGGTGCTTAACCCATTGATGATCGAACTAGTTCACATTAATCGGTGAACATTTCAATGTTATCGCCGAAAATCGGCTGAAGATTCCAAAGATTGCTTTGATATTGTTAATCGTTAGTATTTTCCTAGATTGAACTAAAATGATTTATATTTCCTGGTCGTTGATGGGTAAAAAAAGAACAAATATCTGTCTGTTATCATTTGTAATAAAGGTGTATTGTACCCTACAAGGGAAAAGAAAATGAAGTTTGGCAATTTTGTCAACGTTTCTTGCAAGAACAAATTATCACATGACAGTCGAGAATACAAAATAGATAGATCTATAAATAGTTTGGAAAGTTCGAGGAAGTTCAAAATAAGTGCCTTTGAAGTGACATGATATGATTGATTACGATTGATTGATTGTTGGGGAACTGAGTCTCTTTCGATGTGATCTGCCTTATGATATTGAATTTACACATGCACGTAATTTGCATGGTTTGTACTTGGTGCTGTAGATAGATAATTTCTTTAGTTAACACGAGGGACCCGAAATTAATCTACAGAATTGTTTCTCCACTGTTGTTTTCAGCAAGTGGTTACAGATTGAACAGTATAGTACGATCACGGAAAAATGACGAAGACTATAAACAATCTGTTGCATGATGGGCTGATCTATTGATTGATAGTAGTATTTTGAAGATTACTTAGTGACTTTACTCGCCTTTCTTTTTCTATTAATATGTAATCGGTATTAAATATTTATTTATAACAATAATAAATGGAGCAAAAGAAGAGTTGAAAGATGAAACCCTGTGCAAACTGCCTTGGACAGATTGTTATCTTGCAAGGAATATCTACTTTCTCTTCTTGAATCTTGTACAACAATAAATATACTCGCGAAAATCTGAATTTGCAGAAATATACGCAATCTAACGATATATAATTTGACAATTCAAAAAGCTCACAAACTCAAGTCTCACTTGTGTACTTTTCAACATATTAGATTTTTCTTTGAAATAAAAATGTTTTAAATGTGCAATATCCTGAAGACAGAGTAACAGAATATTTTAGCAATTGTGTAAATGTTGTGTCCTTTTTTTTTCTCTTTCTTCTCTTTTTTTTATTTCGTATCATTGTCTTTTGCAATTTTTATAAACAAAATTAGAGCACATTAGTTTGTCAAATGACCACATGTGTTGTGTATGTTTCTCGTACTTGAAAAGTTCTTTTTGCTCGTAGCCTTTTAAAGCTTTGACAGTCTGATGAACGGGAAAAACGAACGATTTTTCTCGTCATTTTTCTTGGATGATTGAGAAAGAAAAACCAGTCATGTACATGTAGCTTGCAAGCTGTATTAAATGTGCTTGTATGTCCGTGTTAATCAATTAATAAATTGTTATTATTTTGATCTGCTTGCATTTTTTCTGGCACCCTTGCACAAACCTAACTAAACTGATCTGCTTCCTCGTTACTACTAGTTTTTTTGTTATTTAAATAAGAAAAAAAAAAAGAATAATTAAAAAGAAACATCCAAGTAATAAATCTCTGGTGAGTTGATTTGATTTTGTTTTTAGTAGATTCTTTCTTTTCCCTTTTTCTTCTCCAGTAAAACAGTAGTCTCACTAAAAAATGTGAGTGTTTTATATATTGTTTATTTTTTAATTAGAACGATTTGTTGAAAATGTTTTATTTTTAAATTGGTAATTAACTTTCCGAGATGCTTTGTTAGTTCATTTTCACCCTCTTTTGCGACATTGATTTAACTTAAGTAATATCTCAGTCTAGAACGACTCTGTCAATTAGATCATACCTTAAATCAATCAATATTTCACGCTTCAGCTTCTTTACCTTTTGTTGAATTTTGAACGTTGCTTTACAGTAACTTGCTCTGTAATATTTTGCTGTTGCTTTTCAGTTTTCAAAAGTCCTTTAATTAAAGCTGCCTTTTGAATAATGAAGTCACAGTCACAAGACAATGTCGAGACATCAATTTTTTAGAAGTTGAAAAATCATTTTTAGTGAAGTCTTCTTTCTGAAGTAGTTTTTCTTTTGAAGAGTGCATGCTTTGCGCAATAATTTTTATTCACACTCCTTCGTGACTCGAACACAAAAGAAAGGGAAAAGAAAGCTTTTTGTCGAAAGAATTTCAAACAGGTAAGTCAATTTTTGCAGAATTCGTTGTTTTTCCAAAATACTTGCTTACTCAACTCTCCCCTTGGCACGTAGAATTAGAATTTCGATTGTTCTTTCAATTTAAAGTAACGAATGTATACTTTGTTCGCTTATTTCATTGTACACTATAGTGCATGCACACGTATGAGAATAGAGTAGTACTATCAAAAATAACAAATCGCACTCTGTATCACAATTACAACGATGAAACGGATATTAGACTTAGTTCCCAATAAATAAATAAATAAATAAATAAATCGGCGAGTTATGGAAATTTGCATTCCACAGATGAAAAAGCAAAATAAATTTCCAATACGTATAACAAATAAATTCTCCACGAAGTAAAAATAAACACTCCCGAATCGGGACAAACATCAATGCTTTTGCTCGAACAAAATACCCAAATTTACAAAATAAAAATTTGCAACAACTGCCAAAGTAAATCTCGTTCGATCATAGAATAATTCACGTAATAAAAAAAAAACAACAAATGGAAAGAGAGAGACGGAGAAGATCGGAGGGAATTATTTTTTTCTAGAGCACGGTAGCGACCAGCTCGATGAAATCGATACCAGCCGTGAAGCTGGAGAGTTCAACGCCGGCGAGCAGCGGCAACCCAGCGTCCACGTCCGTGGACAAGGCACTTCCGGTCGCGAAACCAATCCCCAAGTCCAAGCTCCCCGTTGGCGTGCCGCCGATACCCGTGATGATCGATCAGAAGCTGGAGAACCGCGAGGAGCGGCAGGACGAGGTGGCCAGGAAGAAGGAGGAACCGAAACAGAGGAACAACAACGCGGACAGCAAGGAGCAAGATGGTGAGAACGGTATACTGGACCCTCCGCTTCCGGCCATTCCAGCTAGAAGATCCGACGACCAGGCTGCAGACAGAAGGGGAAACGGTTGGTTCAACGTTGGGCCAGGCGTACAGGAAATTGGGGACGAATTGAATCACGTCCGCCTACCTGGGTACGTGCTCCTCGTAAATTCAATGAAACTGAAGATTCATTTTTGTATCGCGTGCAAATGAGATGATTGTTCGCTTGATACTTTTCCACCTAGATCGCACAACTTTAAACACTTGGTCTAAGTACTAATTATACACTGGATTGTTTTTCATATATGGGCGCTTTCAGTTTGGACGCTGGTGCCGAGCGAATGGCCGATGTCGGCGATGATCAGTACGAGGGAGTCGAGTACGACAAAGAACCCCAGCAAAAGGACAGCGACTTGAGACTGGTTGAGGGTGAAGACGAAGGCGAAGGTAAGTAACGAAAAAGTCATTGCTCAACTCGTAATCTTCTCGTGTTGCTTAATCTTCTGTTTGTGCCTCTTCAGACGAGGACGATCAAATAGACTATCTTCACAACTTGAAGCAAGAGAAAAGGGAATGAAGAGGAGACACAACGAAAGAGGATTTTTGAGAGAACAATCCTGTTAACAAGGAAATCAATTACTGGGTACTAATTGATTTCCTTGTCTAATTAACGTCTACTGTCTAATCAGCGTCTACTATCGGTTAACTCTTTGTCTTGTCTACTACTTAAACGAGCTGACCGCGTCTGCTGACCTTCGTCCCTCGCGAGGAAGAGAGGAGGAAGACGGAGCAGGGATTTCCAACGATAGATGCACCGTTTTACTTTTTTACCTACACGATCTTCTGGAGGAAACCTCTCTTTGGAGGATCTAGCCGAGAAAGATTTAGATAGTCTATATACTCTATACAGATGCTATTTAAACAGCCACTGCTCGGCCAACCGTGGGTAGATTGTATTTTTATTCGGGAGCTCGTCGACTGGTTCGAGCGGTGTGCGGATAGAAAAAAAAAAAGAACAGACTGTATTTTTCTAGAGATAATTCTAAAACAACAAAGACACGCGAGTTATATGGAAAGGAGGCCTGTTGAAGCAGAGATTCGCTCTTTCATTGGCAGGAAAAAAGTGGAAGAAGGGATGACGATACTTCGTTTACTCGTTCACACGTTATTTGCGCATTTGACGAGACGTTTCTTTAAGAAATTTCTTTGGATATCCGTACGGCGAAGATAGTGTTTAACTGCGATTGATCATTTTTGTTACAACACACGATCAACCAAGTATTCAACAACTGAAAGTGTCCGTATATTTTTATACACTAATGGAATTCCAAGAGAGTGATTCTCTCTTGCTCCTTTTTATTTCGATTGCCAGTTGCACCTGATCCTGCGACTCGGGGCAAATGTTTCCTCGATGAGGCCGCGAAGAAGACATGCCTCTACCAGTGAAAGAGCCGATGGGCTCCCTTCGGGGAACCGCCTACGCGGAGTTGCGACTTAAATGCACTTATTACTTAATAAGCCGTCACTGCTGGACGATTCTTTTTTGAAATATGGATACTCGAGCACTTCGATCAGCCGACTGTTCTCCGACGTCGGAGCCGTGCAATAACGATCAAGGTACAAGGGTACACGTGATTTATTTATTGCCTATATCAGTCGTCGTTCCGGCGCTAACAATCAAGACTTAAACAGAATGAAAGGAACTAATTTTAAGGAATCTATCGAGGATATATAGATTAACATTTGTTATGACGTACATAGACATTTACTTATACACTGGCGCGAAGAAAAGTGATCCATATGTACATAAGAGTTTTTTTTTTTTTTTCATAATAAAAGATTGAGAGAAACCTCGGTTCTCTTCTTCATTCATCGCCGAACTTGGTGTCCAGACGTTGTGACCATCTAGGTTGTCAGTTTTTACAAAAAATCACATTTCCAGTTTACTTTTATTAGTTCATTATTATTATTCTTTTCGTTTTAATCTTAATATCACCATTTATTTATTTATTTTCTTTAAATGCGCGTGTCGCAAACGTTTCTCGTAAACGCACAAAAGCCTGCGATGCAATTTCAACACACACGGGACTGTGTTTTCAAAGTGTTCTACAATTATTATTACATATTCAACGTCTCTTGAATATATATCCAGTTTTTCCTCTGAAGATTAATGGGCATTATCGCGTAGTGCAGGTTACATAAAGGATAAATTACTCGGTATGTCATGCACACATGTGTAGCAGTGCGTTATTTATGTCCATGTTGATATGCCTGGAGAAAATATAAAATATCAGAGAATAATCTACACTGTCCCAATGACCTTTAACTGTGATACTCCGAGGACATTATCTTCTTTTTTTAGTAATGATTGAATAAACACGTACTGATCGATGATTATTCGAATCGTGTTGTACATTAAACGAATGGAAAATAAACCAGCCAGTCTGTAAAAATATTCCCATTTCCAATCCCGTGAATTACTAAATCTTCACTTTTGAACGGTATAAACAATTAATAATGTGAAAACCATCTACTGAAGTGAAAATGACAATACTCCCTGTTTGCCCGAACGTTTCCATCAACTGTCTGTGAAAGTACCACGATGAATCAGACATCGACCAAACTTAATTAAACACGGATCAGCCAACAAATTTCTCATCAATGTGTCATCTGTTTTCACATTTGTTGAAGATCATCCTTTACTCCATACCTATCATCGTCGTTCATTATTAAATTTTATACGCAGTCGATACGAATTTATTTTATTTATATTATTATTATATATCACCACGAGCGAAGAATGTTACACGGAACGGTGTGATTTTGTTGAACCACGCGGAACATAAATAATTGCTCGCTCGTGATTTTATTTGCCAATGAGTCAGACGCGCGCGTTACGCAAAGCCTGCAACGCGATACAACTGCGAGACGACCGTGATTCCCAGAATCGCATTTACATTGCGTCCAATCGTTACATCCAGCCATGAGCTCGAGCGATAACGCTCGATTTTCTCGTCTCTGTCTTTTTTTCTGGAATGTACAGGGCAGCTGCCTCTCCTCGGTATTTTCGAAAAATCCCAAATCGAAGAACAGCTTATTCTTCTTTCTTTTTATTGTTAAATGACGATATACTGTCAGAATCACAACTTGCGAAGGTTGAAGGTTGCGTTGATAATCAAACATGGATTACACCGATTCTTCCTTTTTATATTTGACTGAATTGTGTTTCATTTTTCATTCTATGTTGTATGTGGGAAGTGCAATGTTTGTGAAAGACGCAATTCTTTTGTATTTTTTTTTCAGAATGCGTGAAAATTAGTGTTGCATTGGTAATTGGGAAGACACTGAAGATTTTCTTCTTCGGAGATCTCCGAGTGTCACACAAAGAAAGAAAAAAAAAAACTATTCCAGGAAATAAGCTTTAAATATATAGAGGAAAATTACTATAGAAGATAATAAAAAAAAAATCTTTTGTTGATTCTGAGAAGAGAACGTACGGTATTATTACATAAAAGAGCGTAGAAAATTCGAAGAAAATATGAAAACACTCGATAAGAATCTTTCTCGAACTCAAAAGTTACTTCGCGAAAGAGAGTCTTTATTTTTCAGAATAATTTTCACATCTAAATCTTCTTTCTCCTTCGCGTTCAAAATCTAGGAAATATAAAAAGTACGAAATACTCGAAATTTAAACCTATATCTGCATTTATCCAAAGAAAAGAAAAATTTATTATCAAATTTGTTAAAAATAAGAAAAAATAGTCGAAATTTAAACCTACATCTGCATTTATCCAAAGAAAAGAAAAATTTATTATCAAATTTGTTAAAAATAAGAAAAAATACTCGAAATTTAAACCTATATCTGCATTTATCCAAAGAAAAGAAAAATTTATTACCAAATTTGTTAAAAATAAGAAATAATACTCGAAATTTACACTTACATCTGCATTTATACAAAGAAATGAAAAATTTATTCCCAAATTCGTTAAAAATAAGAGAAATACTCGAAATTTACACCTATATCTGCATTTATCCAAAGAAAAGAAAAATTTATTATCAAATTTGTTAAAAATAAGAAAAAATACTCGAAATTTAAACCTATATCTGCATTTATCCAAAGAAAAGAAAAATTTATTACCAAATTTGTT